TACAATTTGTTTCAGTAAATTATAAATTTTATAAGCCTGTGCTATAAGGTTTTCACTGATCACTGGAATGAAATTCCAATGCTATGACTTTGAACCTAAATTTAATCTTTAAACACATTTCATCAACAAGTGGTAATGATTTGGAAAATAATATTTTATGTCATTATTTATCATGTCAAAGCCCAACTTCCAAATTGAGTGGAATACTATGGTTCCAAAATCAACCTGTCCTATTGTATATCACTTATTGCTCTAAGCAATACATATTAAGTTTGAACACAAGTTCATAGTGTTTTTCTGTAGGTGATCTTTGAACATGTAATTTTGTTTCACACATGACTGAAATTTATAACATATATACATATTCTGAAAGGTGATTTTTCAATGTGTCATTTGATATGATTCATGTGTAAATATTGTATTGTAAATGTTTTTATGTTAAAATTGAAAATGGAGGAAGATGTGATGCATTTTCATCATCATATGCTCTTTTGTTTCTGGAAAGGGAAAAAATGCTCAGTAAAGAGCAAAAAAGACATGCACCATTTATGGAGCAGGTGCCATAGCTGAGAGTTCTGTTTGTAAGTGGTTTGTTAGGTTCAAAAGTGGAAATTTCAATCTGGAAAACTGAGGACATTCCAACAGGTCTGCAGTTATTGATGATGACCAAACTGAAATGCTGATTAAAAGCAATCCCAGCCATATGACAGGGGACATTGCAAAGATAATTCACATATCTCAAATGAAGACTTTAAGGCAATTAAAAACACTTAGATATGTAAAAATTAAAACAAAATTTGCCTCATGAGTTAATGAAAAATGTTCATTGAACCATGGTAATTCTAACTACCATTGTTTCAAATCTATATATATATATATATATATATATATATATATATATATATATATATATATATATTATGAAATAGACAAAATTTTTGACAATTATTTAAAACGTTTTTTATGTTTCTACGTTCTTTTTATTTAAGTAAAATATTTAAGTAAATAAATAAAGTAAATATTTAAGTAAATGCTCTGTTTATAATAAACAGTATTAACAACATTTACTGGCCTGAATGTTCAAGAAATTTTCATAGAAAATATGCATCCTCCAGTAAATGTTGTTAATACTGTTTATTATAAACAGAGCATTTACTTAAATATTTGTATCTATAAAAAGAATGTCTAAACATAAAATGTCTTAAATAATTGTCGAACTTTGTCCATTTCATAATGTATGACGTCATTTGCTTACATTTGGATATGCATTGAGCAGATATGAATGAATGAGAGAAAATCATATAGAATTGTGTTTAAAAACAGTAAAATCGACCTTGCTAACCGAACGCTCATCTGTAGCCCATTCGGTAAAGACACATCAGACTATATGATACAGGTTCGATTCCTGTCAGAAGATGCATATTTTCTATGAAAATTTCTCGGATATTCAGGCCGATAAATGTTGTTAATACTGTTTATTATAAACAGAGCATTTACTTAAATATTTGTATCTATAAAAAGAACATATAAACATAAAAAATGTCTTATATATATATGTCTGATTGAATAAATTACAAACATTATGTTTGCTTATTTTTATCATAATCCTATCATATTCATGAATATTTTTCCATATATTACAATTGAATAAAGCAAGAAATGCACAGTAACAGTTTCCCAAAGAGAAAGTGCTTGTGAATATATGATCACTGAAGTTAAGCAATGTTGAGCCTGGTCAGTACCTAGATCAGTGGTTCCTAAACAGTGCTGCATGCCTCATAAGTGTGGCAGAAACAATCAATGATTTAGAAATAGTTTTATAAAAATTCATATGCCAAAAATAAATATGATTTCAAAATTTTTATATATATATATATAAAAAGTGATTTGTACCCGCAGAAATAAAACATAGATTTAAACAAAACGGGTGTCATATTATACCTTAGGTACCTTTCAACCCACACTTTTTCAAACACATAAGTTGGCAAATTGGAAAACAATCAAAGACACAATGAATATAATGAATGAGGAGGGAAAGTTGGAACGTGATTAAAAAAGAGATAAATTTTAATTACAAATAATTAAAATTCAAAAGGGGGCGAAAATAGCAAGTTCCACAAGAGTATATATATATATATATATACACGTTTCATTGAAAATGACTGACAAGATACTGTGATTTTATTAAATTTTTATTGCAGTCATACAAGTGATTTTTTTGGGGGACATAGCCTGTGTAAAAACTGTCCAAATGATCTGTTGATTCAAGTGCTTTTGACAAATCTATTATTCCGATTCATTATAATTCACTTATGCACAATTATCCTTGAGAAAGGTATGAATTCACCTCTTCTCCCCTCTAGCTATGGGTTAATTAGTAGAACTTACCTGTAAATCATTATTATCTCCGTAAAATTCTTACAATCTAAAAATATTTCCTACTTTTAAATAACCGGCAAAAGGTTGATAAGCTATAAAAAAAAACCCCAAAAAACCAACTCAATGTTATTATTAAGTGTTTAGTTTACAAGTCGACTTTTGAGGATATATTTTTATTTTTACACAATCCTCAAAAATCAACTTACACACACTGGAGAAAAAGAAAGAAAGAAAAGCTTTGTTGAAAAAAGATAAATAAAATGGAGTTTTAAAGTTTTATTGGAAGTTTTAATTATATGAATTACCAATGTTGCTATATAGCGGCTATATGTTTGAGAACATTTGGATGGCAATTTAGTACGAATGAGGGTCGAACTCTTGTCTCAACAGACACTGACACATTGGTCTACCACGAGATCCTTATTGATATTTGATGCAGCAAATGTTACGTGTGGTATTATTTGCATACAGCGACATCAATAAGTCCGTGGCGTAATGGTGAAAAAAATGAATTTTTATTCTATTTTTAAATATCGCCTTCGTTGTTTGCCGATATTAGCACATTTTATTTTTAAGTTTTACCTTTTAAGTTTTTAACCGACCGCTTTTTTCCATTTTCCTAGTCGAGAATTAACAGTGATAATTTCATAACAAAATTTTTAGCTAATAACTGTGTCAAGTTACGGACTTACTGATCCGCCATGTGCGTATACCTATATGTGTACACGTGTGTGTACCTCTCTCGCTTTCTCTCTCTCACACACACACACGCACGCGCATACATATATTTGATAAGTGTTTCGAACATCTTGGAAGTCTTGTGAAATATAAATGCCCCGCCCATTTTTCCTTATATGGAATCAGAGTACCCAACCTCCATCTTCCTTTTTCAACATGGCGACTGAGCTACAGGTTATGGAGGAAGAGATTAACTTGGCAAAATATTATCTTCTCAGTCCGTTGAGTTTTAATAATTATTTCCCATGTAAAACTTTAGTCGAAGTTTTTCTTCCTTTTTCTTACATCAACAGCCGCTATAACTGAATAAATAAATATTAGCTCCACCATTATAGTTGTCGTAAAAGTTGTTGTCATCATGGCACCGACTAAAAATAGTATAGTACCGTATCGGGTACAACTTATAAACAGGTAAACTAGTATTTTCTAAACTTCTCTTTTATAAAAAAAAATATCAAACAAAATTGCAAATTTAAAAAAAAATCTGTCACAAAGTCTCTCAGTAATATACGCTACTTTTCACCGAAAATATACCCTGGATTCTACTGAAACTGAATGAAAGCAATTTATTTTTTATTAAATTTTTATTTTTTGAAGTCAAAATTGAGGGGAGTCCTCGGCACTGGAAAATATGTACATGTGTATGCTTTATATTGTAGGGTGCGATGGGTAAATTGTCGTCTAAATTACGCAAAAATGAAAATAATGTTAAATTTCATTTTAATAGAATTTACCAAAATTACACAAAAATATCTTGAAATACTAAAGATTAAAAAAAGAGAAAAATCGGCTTCGACCACAGCCTCCAGACGACTTTGGAATCTCCTGCATCTTTTCTGGACGGTCTCTTTGTTTTAGTTGGTAAATGCTGCCATAATCCTTGCCTTCAGTTCATCTTTGGTATTACAAGGAGTTTTGTTGGTCTCTTGCTCAACTGCATCCCACACATAATAATCAAGGGGGTTGCAGTTTGGGGAGTTAGGTGGCTCTCCTGCTTGTATGGCATGGTGCAGAGTCCTGTTGCCAGACATAGGGTGGTCCAGCAGCTACTCTGTTGACCCAGGGCTGCACTACCTCCTCAGGGCACTCGATGTTGGTCTCTGTGTTGAGTCTGAGGCCCTCAAGAATAAATTAAGGAGTTCTTTTCTTATCAGAATGATCAAAGAGAGGTTTTGGAGCTGCCATACATTTGTAATCATCATTAGACTTATCCAACTCTTTCCAAATCCTTTGCACTACCCAAACACACTGAAATGTTCACATTGGAGTTTCTGACAGGAATGCATAGCAGTACAGCATGCCGGTTCCAAATTTCTTGCAGAGCAAATTGCATCATGGTGCTCTTTTTCTCAAGACAGTACCCAAGTGACCCTATTATACTGTGCAGTTGACAAAATCAAAAACAAACGACACACGTGCATGAAATTAAAAATATAAGATGGCAACAATTTACTCATCAGACCATATATATATATATATATATATATATATATATATATACACACACACACACACACACATTTGTGCATGTGTTTACACTGTAGGTGCTACTTACTGTTAATGTTTGTTATTAATTAAATGCCAATGGATTATTTTTTTTTCAGTTTGACAGCATTTCTTATTAACTATAAAAAATTGTTATTTTAGTAGTGGGTATACCTGTTTGAATACATACCTTGTTTTTAATTACAAACTGAAATTAACATCAACCAGCCTAAAAAATTAAATGTCTTATTAAAAATATATGCCTCTTGTTATTCTCTTTAATAAGACTTGATGTTCAAGATGTTCACTTTTTGTAAATAAACAGAGATGTCAACTCAAATGTTTATCTATCTATCTAAGTTTAATCTTATCTGAGTTTATTCATATATTCATTTCAGTTTTTTATTTTATCTATCACTGTTTATTCATATCTATCTATCTATCTATCTATCTATCTATCTATCTATCTATCTATCTATCTATCTCACTCTATCCATATCTATCTATCTATCTATCTATCTATCTCACTCTATCCATATCTATCTATCTATCTATCTATCTATCTATCTATCTATCTATCTATCTATATCCATATCTATATCTATCTATCTATCTATCTATCTATCTATCTATCTATCTATCTATCTATCTATCCATATCTATCTATCTATCTATCTATCTATCTATCTATCTATCTATCGATCTATATCACTCTATCCATATCTATCTATCTATCTGAGCAGCAAAAACAACAAAAGGACAAGAATTATGAAGACATAACATAACGGTTGATATTGCAATTTTAACTTTTTGAAGAAAATGCTGGTATTTTCCAAGTTGGCTACAAAGTCATGTAATTTGAATAGAAAAACTTACAAGTATAAGATTTTCCTTGCCCATCACATCCAATAAAACATTATAAACGTCATTTATAGGCCCCACCCAAACACCACAAAAACATCACGATGATCATCATCATTATCACCATCATCATCATCATAATAATAAGAAGAAGGAAAATACACAAATTAAATACAGTGGGGTCTCTTTATGAATTTAATCTCTTCTGGAATTAACTGAATTGTTCATTACATGAGTAATTGAAATGCATTTGGGAGTAACTTTTCCAAGCACCACTTAAACTCTACATAAGAACATATATAAAATAGAATATACATAAATTAAATAGCAAATGCTTAAATTAAATATATATATAAATAATAAATTAAATATATATATAAATATATATATAATAAATTAAATATATATATATAAATAATAAGGGTAAACAAATAAATTTATTAATAGCTACATGGGACAGGAAGTTGTGGAGGGCAATGATTGCCTACGTACTGAGGGGACAAGGCACATAAAGAAGAAGAAATAAATACAGAGATTAATTGAAGCAAGAAAATCCAGCGCTGTAGAATCACTTCCACTGGAAGCATTTTAAGGTTATTATACTTAACATTAGGAAGGGACAGTTGAAATTTCTAGCGCATATAATGAGGAAAGAGGGCTTAGAAAATTTGATACTCACAGAACAGATTGAAGTCAAGCGGGACAGACAGAGCTGGACTTAGGTGAAGAGAGGCCTTAGGCTATTCCACTTGTGGGCCCCTCCAAATCCCTATTCTCAGAAAATGGAAGCATGTTAAATTAAACAATTTCAGTAAAGACGATGATGATGATGGGGGTTTAAAATTACTGAAGGGTTGTTTAGATTCTACAATGCATTATGGCAGTGTGTGTAAGAAAGGCCTATGACAGTGTAAAAAATATTAAACCTCTTGGCTGGAGGCCTTCTAGATTTTGAGGCCCTAGGCTAAGCCTATAGGTAAATCTGACTGAGTGACATCTCCAATAAAGTAGTGCGGTTTGCTAAGTTGTACAGGAAGGATTGAAAGAACAAAAACAATACTTGACTGCAGTTCTTTGGCCACCAACTCCTCAGATCAATATCTCATTGGCCTCTTATGAGATGTGTTGGATGAAAAGATTAACACTGCAGAACCTTTATTTCATAAGGCCACTCAAGGTAGAAGGCTACTGAATAGGCTTGTGTAATAGATGCAAGAATTATAGATTATGAAAATATATAGGATAAATAAGAGTTGAACCTAGACTTAAAGAGGTTAAGATTTGAACGTTTGAGGAAGCATCCTCTCGGGAGTATGTTCCACAAAGCAGGGGAAGAAGCTGTGTGAATGGAATTTCTTTCTCACCAGCAGAATTCTTGGTCAGGTTGAAAACTTTTCATTACAGATAGATATATAGACAGATAAATATGAATAAAAAAAGCAATGATACCAGGGCTAGATTTAGATGAAGAGAGGCCCTAGGCTATTCCACTTGTGAAGCCCATTCTCAGAAAATGGAAGACTGTTAAATTAAACAATTTGAGTAAAGTTGAGGATGATGACAGGTGTTTAAAATTACTGAAGGGTTATTTAGAGTTTACAATGCATTATGACAGCATGTGTAAGAAAAGCTAATGACTGTTAAAAGTATTATACACCTTGGCTGGAAGCCCCTTAGATTTTGAGGCCCTAGGCCTCAGCCTACTAAGCCTATAGATAAATCCAACACTGGGATATAGGAAAACAATACATAACCTACCTAGCATGCTTGAGTAAATGGATGGTAGAATAAGGTGTAAGAGAGATACCAAAAATTTAAAATTTATTAAGAACTACAAAGATAGGAAGTTGTAGAGAGCCATGATGTTTAACACCCTGAAGGGACATGGCACAGAGAAGAAGAAACAACTATTTGGTCTTTGTATAAATTATTGACTTACTCACTGGTAATTTTTTTCTTTAATTCACACCAAATGTAAATTTTCCAATTCTTCAAATTTATGGAGGTTGGTTATTCCTTTAGCCAGATGAACAATTTTTAAAAAATTGTTGTAACCTAGGGAAGGTTACTGAATAGAATAATCACATGAAGTTTGGTAATGAATGATAATACTTAGAACAAGAACAACACATATAAGATTCACCAGCGGCACGTAGAAGTAGTCAACTGCTAGAACTGAGTCAAGTGAATTCCAAAATGAATCTCCAACTGCAGACCAACATAGAGTATTTACTACTGCATTTATGTGAATGGGGACATACCCATTATCGTCCATAGGTATGCTACAACAAAAATTCATCTTTATTTTTGAGAATGTTGGTTTCAGCATATCATACTTGACACTAAGTTTGCTAACACTTGTTCGACTTTCATGTATAGAAATTATTAGTTCAGTGCCTGTCATTTCACTGATGGTAAGTTGATCAATTTAAAATCTAAATTGTTTATTCATTTATCAGAAAATGTATTTAGTTTAATATTTTTTTTAATTATTTCACCCCAAACAAGGCAATGAGGCCACTAGGATGCAATGAGTGTTAAAGTACATGAGAAAAACTACTATTAAGGAAAGAAGACAATAAAAGAACAAGAATTAAGAAGACAAAAAGATAACAATTGATACTGCATTTAAATTTTTGAAGATCAACATTGACTAGGAAGCAGGAAGAGAGAAGAAACTGTTAGTGTAAAACTTATGGCTATATCTGGCCATTTCAACTGTAAAATGATGAGACCTTGTCACTAATATAGTACTGCGCTTAAATTCATAAAGTCTGGGTATAGCGGAAAATTCATCAGAACAATTACCATGAAAGTATTTATAGAAAAGGTACAGGGAAGCTACATTATGTTGGTGGAAAAGTGACTGAAACCAAGATGCCAGGTCATGACCAATAATATTGCAGATTCTTCTTTTGATTTCATCAAGAATCTCTAAATATATAGTATCATCAGACCCAATATGGTAACAATATTCAAAGCAAGGACAAATGGTAGACTAAGATAGATTCTAAGATAGATTCTGGTAAGAAAAATTCTCTAGCACATCATAGTGAACCAAATTACTTAGCTGCAGACTTAGCAATTGATTCAATGTAGTCTTTCCACTTCATGTTAGTCTGAGAAGGTGCAATGAGTCACTCTCCTGAAGGTTAGTATCAGGCATGATGATGGGAGGTGAAAAGGGTTCTTTTGCATGATTAAAAGAGAGAAGTTTCTTTTTTAAAAAAAGGAAAAATAAAGATGACTTAAAATGGCCAGCTTATACTCTTTTTCTGTTACTCAGGGGTTGTTGTCAATCAGAAAGGGAAATTAGCCCTTGTGACACAGATGTCCATTTGAATTTCATTCAAATTGTGTGTGTATGTACATTTAGTGCATAAGCAAGCTTGTATATTTTAATTTAATAGCAGATCTTAAAAATATTTCAACAAAATTAAAAAAAATGCATTAAAAAATTGTAACAATATTAGAACAATATTTTGCTAACAATGAATTAAGCTAAGATTTACCCTAACAATATCAGAACAACATTACCCTAACAAAGAATTAACCGATCAGTTACAGTAACAATCTCATCCTCGTTGCCAAGTTGTTATGTAGTGGTTTCACAGTGGAGGCTTGTATTTGGAAATAGTCGGTCTTAAAATAGGTTTGACGTACAAAACATTAGGAACTTGATATAATAGGTAATGACACAGCAATCTAGTTGTGGTGGCTGATATTTTAATATCCGACTAACGGTCGTCCGACATCGACTGACTGACCAACTCTCTGAGCGACTCTACTACTACTACTACTTATTATAGGTGGGAGAGTTTATTAGCTATAGAATAGCTGTGTTCCACTATACATTGGTTACTAAATTTGCTGCCAATGTGCAGTTTTAGAACTAGAAGCTTAGAATAGGTGTATTCCAGTATAACAAAAATAATTCTATAAATTTACAGAAAGTTCAGTAAAATTTTATTATTATCTGATTATTTATGGTTTAAATAATTAGTGTTGTTTTTTTTGTTTTTTTTTCACCTTATTAAGACAAGATTAAGGTACGGTATATATTCGTATATCATGCGACTTTTGAAGACCTAATTTTGAAGCTAATTTTAATGGGGTCACATCATAAATGAGATATAAAATTAGCGTATTTACTGCTGGCCTTGGCTATGTCCTTCACCAAACTATATATCCATTTACTGTAGTCAAATTAGCTTCAAAATTAGGTTTTCAAAGGCCGTATGATACATGAGTATATACAGTAATTTCAAAAAATATATTTATTAATCCAATTTCACAAATGTTGACCAGTTTGGTATTTATGATAAGGAAAATCACACATTTGACCTTCAGACCCAAATTTAAAAAACTGATCCATTGTTCGGAAATACATTCCAGTTTATCATTCTGAACAGTGGATCACACCTCTTGTTCTCCAGTCTCCTCCTCTAACAAGTGATTTATCTACTTACAGATTGCAATGGGTAAATTGTTGTCATTTTATATTTTTAATTTCACACATATGTGTTGTTTGTTTTTGATTTTGTCGACTGCAGAGTATAGGTTATTTGGGCACCATCTGTGAGAAAAAGAGCACCATGATACAATTCACTCTGCCAGAAATTTGGAAATGGCATGCTGTACTGCCTGGCATTTGCACTACAATCTCCAATATGAACATTTCAGAGTGTTTGGGTATAAATCTGAGGACAGTGTAGAGGATTCAGAAAGAGTTGGATGAGTCTAATGGTGATTACCAAGGTGTTTGGAGTCATCACTAGTGATGGCAACATTATGCCTCTATTCATCTTCCCACAGAGCCTCAGACTCAACACAGAGGCCTACATTGAGGAGATAGTGCTGCCCTGGGTGAAGTGGGTGGTTACTGGAAGACACTATGTCTGGCAAGAGGACTCTGCACCATGCC